GGTCTTGAACCCCTGACGTCAAGTGATTCTCCCACCTTGGTCTCCCAAGGATTGGTTTCCTGGATTATAAGTGTGAGCCATTGTGTCCAGCCAGGATTCGTGTTTCTATTTCTTTCTTTTGTTTTTTTTTTCTTTTTTTTGAGATGGAGTCTTGTTCTGCCACCCAGGCTGGAGTGCAGTGGTGCGATCTTGGCTCACTGCAACCTCTGCCTCCCGGGTTCAAGCAGTTCTCCTGCCTCAGCCTCCCGAGTAGCTGGGGTTATATGCGCATACCGCCACACCTGGCTTTTTTTTTTTTTTTTTTTTTTTGTATTTTAGTAGAGACGGGGTTTCCCTTATGTTGCCCAGACTGGTCGCAAACTCCTGAGCTCAGGCAGTCTGCCCGCCTCGGCCTCCGGAAGTACTGGGATTACAGATTTGAGCCACCATGCCGGCCCCACGTTTCTTTTTCATGCTTTTTGTTTGTTTCAGAGGCACGGTCTTGCTCTCACCCTGGCTGGAGTGTGGTGGCATGATGGTGGCACGCTGCAGTGTCGAACTCCTGGGTTCAAGCCATCTTCTTGCCTCATCTTCCTGAGTAGCTGGTACTATGGGTGTGCACCACCACGCCTAATTTTTTTGTTTGTTTGTTTGAGATGGGGTATCACTCTGTTGCCTAGGCTGGAGTGCAGTGGCACGATCTCAGCTCGCTGCAACCTCCCCTTGCCAAACTCAAGCAGTTCTCCTACCTCAGCCTCCCAAGTAGCTGGGATTACAGGTTCCCACCTGCTACCACACCCAGTTAATTTTTGTATTTTTAGTATAGATAGTCCTCACTATGTTGCCCAGGCCGGTCTCAAACTCCTGACCTTAAGCGATCCACTGGCCTTTACCTTCCAAAGTCCTGGGATTACAGGTATGAGCCTCCATTCCCGGCCTTGAAGTTCATTTTTTTAATAGCTCTTTGAGTATCTGTGGGAGGTAAACTCTCTTAGTCTTTGAATGTGTAAAAATTGTTTTATCCCATCCTTACTTTTTTTTTTTTTTTTAAAAGAGAGTCTTGCTCTGTTTCCTAGACTGAAGTGCAGTGGGTTGGTCATAGCTCACTGTAACCTTGGAACTCATGGGCTCAAGCAATCCTCTAGCCTCAGCCTCCCGAGTAAGTGGGATCACAGATACGTGCCACCATGCCCAACTAATTTTTTTCAGTTTTTTGTAGAGATGGGGTCTCACCAGGCTTGCTCAGGCTGGTCTCAAATTTCTGGCCTCCAGCGATTGTCCCGCTTTGGGTTCCCAAAGTGGTGGGATTATAGGCATGAACCACTGTAGCCAGCCCCTGCCCTTACTCTTGAAAAATAAGGGATCATAGAATTTGAAGTTTACAATTATTTTTTCTCTACTACTACTCTATTTTTTCTATTTAATTTTTTTTTTTTTTTTTTTTTTGAGACGGAGTCTTGCTCTGTCGCCCGGGCTGGAGTGCAGTGGCCGGATCTCAGCTCACTGCAAGCTCCGCCTCCCGGGTTTACGCCATTCTCCTGCCTCAGCCTCCCGAGTAGCTGGGACTACAGGCGCCCGCCACTTCGCCCGGCTAGTTTTTTTTTGTGTTTTTAGTAGAGACGGGGTTTCACCGTGTTAGCCAGGATGGTCTCGATCTCCTGACCTCGTGATCCGCCCATCTCGGCCTCCCAAAGTGCTGGGATTACAGGCTTGAGCCACCGCGCCCGGCCTATTTAATTTATTTTTTACTCTAATTTATTTTTTTACTCTTTTTTTACTCTAATTTTTTTACTCTAATTTATTTATTTTTTACTGTAATTTATTTTTTACTCTATAGATTTACTCTAATCTATTTTTTCTGTTTACTCTGTTTTTTCTATTTACTCTAATTTTTTCTATTTTTTCTATTTACTCTATTTTTTCTACTATTCTACTATTATTTCTACTATTATTTACTCTATTTTTTCTACTACTACTCTATTTTTTCTCTACTAGTAATAAAAGATCGTATTTTATTACTTTGGTGTTAATTGCTTCTTATGAAGAGTCTTTTTTTTTAGGAGACAGTGTCTTGCTCTATTGCCTAGGCTGGAGTACAGTGGCATGATCTTGGCCTACTGCAACCTCCGCCTCCAGGGTTCAGGTGATTCTCTCACCTCAACCTCCTGAATAGCTGAGTTTACAGGTGCATGCCACCACACCAAGCTGATTTTTATATTTTTAGTAGAGACAGCATTTTGCCATGTTGACCAAGCTGGTCTCGAACTCCTGACTTCAAGTGATCCGCCCTCCTCAGCCTCCCAAAGTGCTGGGATTACAGGTGTGAGCTACCACGCCAGCCTGAAGAGTCTATTTTTATCCTTGTTTTACCTGTGGTAGTTTTTGCAGTTTTAATGTTTTACCTTATGACATATTTATGTGTGGTTTTATTTTTACTACTGCTCAGTAGACAGTATAGTTTCACCACACCCTTGCTGGCTTGAATGGATACTTACCTGTTTTGTTTTGTTTTATTTTTTAATTAATTTATTCTTTTGAGACAGAGTTTTTGCTCTTGTCTCCCAACTTGGAGTTCAATGGCACGATCTCAGCTAACTGCAACCTCTGCTTCCCAGGTTGAAGCAATTCTCCTGCCTCAGCCTCCTAAGTAGCTGGGATTACAGGCTCCTGCCAGGACACCTGGCTAATTCTTCGTATTTTTAGTAGAGGCAGGGTTTCACCATGTTGGCCGGGCTGGTCTCCTGACCTCGAGTGGCCCGCCTGCCTTGGCCTCCCAAAGTGCTGAGATTACAGGCATGACACCCAGCCATCTGTTTTATTTGTTAAAATCTTTATTGCTACAGGCTGGGCTTGGTGGTTCACAGCTGTAATCCCAGCACTTTGGGAAGCCAAGGCAGAAAGAATGCTTGAGACCAGGATATCCAGACCAGCCTGGACAACATAGTGCGACCCTGTCCCTACAAAAATTTTTTAAAAATTTAGCTAGGCATGGTGGTGCATGCCTGTAGTCCCAGCTACTCTGAGGCTGAGGCAGAAGGATTGCTTGAGCCCAGGGGTTCAAGGCTGCAGTGAGCCATGATCGTGCAGCTGCTCTCCAGCGGGGATGACAGAGAGAGACTCCGGCTTAAAAAAAAAAAAAAGACTACAACCTCTGCCTACTGGGTTCAAGCTATTCTCCTGCCTCAGCCTTCCAAGTAGCTGGGATTACAGGTGCCTGCCACCACGCCTGGCAGATTTTTATATTTTTAGTAGAAATGGGGTTTCACCACATTGGCAGGGCTGGTCTCGAACTCCTAACCTCAAGTGATCCGTCTTCCTCAGCCTCTCAAAGTGCTGGGATTACAGGTGTGAGTCACCGCTCCTAGCCCTCAAAGAAATCTTTATTGATATACAATTAAAATCTCTCCATTTTAGTATATAGTTCAGTGAGTTTTGACAAATGCATATATCCAGGTGACTACCACCACAGTCAATATATAAAACATGACTTAGCCTGGAAAGGTTCCCTCATGTCACTTAACAGTTAATCTACCCACTCCCTCGTTGGTACCCACCTTTTCTCTTTCAGTAATAGACATAGTTTTTTTTTATTTATTTTTTTGTCCCCATTACTCTCATATGCGTCCATTTCCCAAATATTTCTGTTTCCTATCCCCAGAGTTCAATAGTTCTGCAGCTTTAGCCCCATCACTAACTTCTGTGTTTCTGTTCCATCGCTGGTCCATGGAGATGTAATGTCTTGGCTTTAACACCATGATACCTCTTTTTGAAGGAAGAGAGGGATGAATTTCAAAAATACAAGTCTACTACTCACGTCTGCTACCCAGATTTAACATATGTTCATGTTTTGCCTTGTTTGCTTTAAATATCTTCAAATGAAAGAAAAAAAAAGTTATATGTAACTCAAGTTCAAGTTCCTTTTCATTCTCCCTTACCCAGAAATAGTCACTGTCCTGAAGTTGCTGAGGTCATTCTTATGCATATTGTAATTGTAATTTTTTTTTTTTTTTTTTTTTTTTTTTGAGACAATCTCTCTCTGTCACACAGGGTGGAGTGCAGTGGCGTGATCCTGGCTCACTGCAACCTCTGCCTCCCGGGTTCTTGTGATTTTCCTGCCTTAGCTTCCCGACTAGCTGGGATATCAGGCGCCTGTCACCACACCCTGGTAATTTTTGTATTTTTATTATTTATTTATTATTATTTTTTAAATTTTTAGTAGAGACAGGGTTTCACCTTGTTGGCCAGGATGGTCTCAATCTCCAGACCTCGTGATTCCCCCACCTCGGCCTCCCAAAGTGCTGGGATTACAGGTGTGAACCACTGCGCCTGGCCATGTGTGCGTGTGTGTGGGGTGTTTTTTTTTTTTTTTTTTTTGAGATGGAGTCTCGCTCTGTTGCCCAGGCTGGAGTGCAGTGGCGCAATCTCGGCTCACTGCAAGCTCCGCCTCCTGGGTTCATGCCATTCTCCTGCCTCAGCCTCCCGAGTAGCTGGGACTACAGATGCCTGCCACCACGCCCGGCTAATTTTTATATTTTTTGTAGAGCTGGGGTTTCACCATGTTGGTCAGGCTGGTCTCGAACTCCTGACCTCGTGACCTTCCCGCCTCAGCCTCCCAAAGTTCTGGGATTACAGGCATGAGCCGTTGCGTCTGGCTGAAACATAATTCATTTTCTGATTTGCCTTTCCCTGATTATTAGTGAGGTTGAGCGTCTTCTGTGTTTTCTTTTTTATGAATTGCCTGTTAATACCCTTAACTCATTTCTTTGTTAACATATTTGTATCAAGATATGAATTCTCTGTCTGTACTTTGTCTGTTTAATATGTGTATTTTAAAAATATGTTTTAATGACATATGTTTTGAGTGTTTGTGGGTTTTTGTTTTTTTTTTTTTTACCTACTTCCTTGGATATGTTTCCTTAAGGAATGTTTTCAGCATAAGCTTCAGATGTTCCCTGGCCAGATACATGGCAAGAGTTTTGATACTCCCTCTTTCTTACTGTTCCTCTTTGCTTCCTTTTCAGACCTTTTGAAACAGATGGTCACCATGTTTAGATATTAGCAGTCCCGTATGTGCAGGTCTGCGTTTGAAAATGGCAGAGGGAAACAGCAATGAAGAGGTGATTCACTTGAACAACTTTCACTGCCATCGGGGACAAGGTAAGTTGTTTGCTCTCACTTTGTCTCTTTCCCTGTGGCTTTTTATTTTAGTACCACAGCTCTGTCTTTTGAAATGATCCTATTTTGTACCATTTAGAATCCAGGGACATTTCATTTTTAGATATAAAAAGACTAGAATTAGATAATGATATTGCTGGCATGAATGAAGTGTAAGACTCATTCATTACAACGAGATTAATAAGCTATTAATTTGCTGGCAAGACACTGTTAATGTGCAGTCATTGAGTCTTAAGAGAGAGTATCAGCATCAGTTTTTGAAGGCGTGGTGATTATAAAGGAGTGCTCCACTAGGCCTTTATGACCTGAAATACTATAGGTGATGCTGAACCAGTCTTGTCCTCCCATGATCCTTAATTTCTTTTTTGCCAGAATATTCTGGCTTAACCTTGAGGGGAATTTTGGAACATGTATTTTTTTTGTTCTACAGTTTTTTTTGTTTTGTTTTCTTTTTTCTTTTCTTTTTTTGAGATGGAATTTCGCTCGTTACCCAGCTGAAGTGCAATGGCGTAATCTTGGCTCATCACAACCTCCGCCTCCTGGGTTCAAGCGATTCTCCTGCCTCAGCCTCCCGAGTAGCTGGAATTATAGTCATGTGCCACTACGCCCTGCTAATTTTGTATTTTTAGTAGAGATGGGGTTTCTCCATATTGGTCAGGCTGGTCTTGATCTCCTGACCTCAGGTGATCCGCCCACCTCAGCCTCCCAAAGTGCTGGGATTACAGACATGAATCACTGCGCCCGGCCTGTTTTACAGTTATTAAAGTTTTGGGGAATTTTACTGATTTTTAAAGGGAATAGTGCTTGCTATTCTATAACATTCTTAAATGTGTATGAAATTTCCTGTTAAGTTCGAATTCACATTTACACTTGGGCTAAAAGGAAAAAATTCATGCTGAGGTGTAGAACCCTGATGTTCATTTTTTGTAATTATAAATTCCATGGGAGAGGTTATACTGGTTTTGTTTTCTCCCGTTGATAATATTTTGTGTTTACAAAGATGATTTTTCTAGTAGAGAGTAAATTACATTTGACTTTAGAAAAATGACTGCCCCAGGCCAGGCGTGGTGGCTCACACCTATAATCCCAGCACTTTGGGAGGCTGAGACTGGTGGATCACGAGGTCAGGAGTTCAAGACCAGCCTGACCAACATGGTGAAACCCTGTCTCTGCTAAAAAATACAAAAATTAGCTGGGCGTGGTGATGCATGCCTGTAGTCCCAGCTACTTGGGAGGCTGAGACAGGAGAATTGCTTGAACCTGGGTGGCAGAGGTTGTAGTGAGCCAAGATTGCGCCACTGCACTCCAGCCTGGGCAACAGAGCAAAGATTCCGTCTCAAAAAAAAAAAAAAGAAGAAGAAAAACGACTCCACCAAAACTTAAGTACAAATAGCCTACTGTTGATTGGAAGCCTTACTGATAACAAGTCAACACATGTGTTATATATCGTATGTTTTGTATACTGTATTCTTTTTTTTTTTTTTTTTTTTTTGAGACGGAGTCTTGCTCTGTAGCCCGGGCTGGAGTGCAGTGGCCGGATCTCAGCTCACTGCAAGCTCCGCCTCCCGGGTTCACGCCATTCTCCTGCCTCAGCCTCCGGAGTAGCTGGGACTACAGGCGCCCGCCACCTCGCCCGGCTAGTTTTTTGTATTTTTAGTAGAGACGGGATTTCACCGTGTTAGCCAGGATGGTCTCGATCTCCTGACCTTGTGATCCACCCGTCTCGGCCTCCCTAAGTGCTGGGATTACAGGCTTGAGCCACCGCGCCCGGCCTGTATACTGTATTCTTATAATAAAGTGAACTATAGAAAAGAAGTGTTATTAAGAAAATCATAAGGAAGAGGAAGAAAATATAGTTGCTATTCCTTAAGTGGAAGTGGACCGTTCTGAAGGTCTTCATCTTTATCACCCTCACATTGAGTAGGCTGAAGAGGAGGTGGAGGAAGAGGGGTTGGTCCTTGTATTAGTTGGTTCTCCACTGGCTGTAAAGAAATGCCCAAGACTGGGTAATTCATAAAGAAAGAGAAGAGGTTTAATTGGTTCACAATTCTGTAGGCTATATAGGAAACATAGTGGCCTCTGCTTCTGGGGAGATCTTAGGAAACTTATAATCATGACAAAAGGAGAAGGGGAAGCAGGCTTGTCTCACATGGCTGGAGCAGGAATAAGAGGGATTGGGGAAGAGGTGCCACACACTTTTAAACAACCAGATCTCACAAGAACTCACTGTTGCAACCAGAGGGGATGGTGCTAAATCATTTATGAAATACCACCCCCATGATCCTATTACCTCCCACCAGGCCCCATCTCCAACATTGGGGATTACAGTTGAATATGAAATTTGGAGAGGGACACAGATCCAAACCATACTATTCTGCCCCAGCGCCTCCCAAATGTCTTGTCCTTCTCACATTGCTAAATACAATTATGCCTTCCCAACAGTCCCCAAAGTCTTAACTCATTCCAGCATTAACTCAGAAGTTCAGTCTTATCTGAGACAAGTCTAATCCCTTCCACCTATGAGCCTGTAAAGTCAAAAATAAGTTAGTTATTCCCAAGATACAATTGGGGGTACATACATTGGGTATATGCTCCTGTTCCAAAAGGGAGAAATTGGCCAAAAGAAAGACGCGAGAGGTCCCACACAAGTTCAAAACCCAGTAGGGCAGTCATTAAATCTTAAAGGTCCAAAATAATCTCCTTTGACTCCACATCTCACATTCAGGGCACACTGGTGCAAGGGATAGGCTCCTGAAAGCCTTGTGCAGTTCTGCTGTTTTAGGAGTAACACAAGTGGAAGAAAATCTGCAAATAAGTGGACCCACACTGTTCAAATCAGTGTTGCTCAAGAGTCAACTGTGTATTTGGCTTTCAGAGCATTTAAAATTGAGCAAATTTTATTAGGTAAATAAGTCAAGAGTAATAAAATTGCTCAAGCTATGCAACTTATGAGTACAAAAGAAGGACTAATTTTCAGGGTTTTATTAATAGTGTATTCTAACTTGGTAGTGATTGTAACCATAATTTATTGGATTCAGGCAATTTTTAATCTTAGTTGTAACTTGTATTTATGATCATTTCAAAATTTTCTGTACATGTATATCCAATTAATGTTGTAGTTGTTTTTTGTTTTTTAATTGGATCTTAAATATACTTGAACAGTTTCTTTAAGAACAACTAATTCCTTTTGGAAAATTACTGACTTTGGAGATGTGTTTTGTTAGACAAGTATGTTTACTCTGCACCCATCATGAGAACTTTTTTCAGGTGCATAAAGTTTTGTTTTTATTAACGGCATTAATTTTTTTTTTTTCTTTAAACAAGAGAGGGTCTCACAATGTTGCCTGGCAAAGCTAGTCTTGAACTGCTGGGCTCAAGTGATCCAATTGCCTCTGCCTTACGAAGTGCTAGGATTACAGGCGTGAACCACTGCTCCTGGCCAACATTAATAATTTTTATTATGCATCAACCTCTGTAGTTTTTTTTTTTGAAGTGTATAGTTCAGTAAGTTTTGACAAATGAATATACCACCTGAATTACGATATAGAACATTTTCTATCACTCCAAAAAGATTCCCTTGTGCCTCTTTGCAGTCAGTTCTTACCCCACTCCAGGCCTAAGGAAACTACTAATCTGCTTTTTTTCACTCTGTAATTTCATATAAATGGAATTATACATACTGTATATTTTCTTTGTACCTGAATTCTTTTGTGAAAGGTAATGTTTTGAGATTCATCCCTGTTGTCGCATATATCAGTAATTCATTCCTTTTTAATTGCTAAGTAGTGTTTTTGCCTACTTATCTATGATTCTATACCTAGTGGAAATAGGCTTAAAAATGAAGGTAAAATAAAGATTTTAAAAGTTTTTATCAGGAATGAAAAAAGGTACATCATGCAAATGGCCACACACCCCCCCAAAAAAAAAGCTGATATATTTGTGTAATATCTGATAAAATTGATAGAAACTCCAGCCAGAAGCATTGATAGAGTTCATAATGATAAAAGTTTCAGTACACTGGGAAGATAAAATAGTGCTAATCTCTGTATACTTTGTAACATGATAGAAAAATAAACAAAGCAAAAATTGGCAAATCTAAAAACAGAATTGGACAAATACACCATTATAGTGGGGATTTTTAAGACTTGTTTCAGTAACTGAAAGAGCAAGCACACACACACACTTGTATGAATATAGAAGATTGGAAGAACGCAGTCAAAAATGTAATAAACATAGGTGGGATTCTGCACCCAGTGTAAGAAGAAATGACAATGAAAATTAGAAGATTATTTTGAATTACATGATAATGAAAATATAGCCTCTTATATTTATGAGATACGTGTAATGCCACGTTGTGAAGAAAACTTGTGGTCTAAGATACATTAGACAAGAAGTAAAAAGCTCAGCCAGGTGCAGTGGCTCACGCTTGTAATCCCAGCACTTTGGAAGGCCAAAGTGGTAGGATAACTTGAGCCTAGGATTTTGAGACCGGCCTGGACAACGTGGTGAGATTTCTATCTCTACAAAAAATTAAATATAAAACAATTAGCTGGTATGGTGGTGTTGGGTTCACCAGGTCCCAGGTACTTTGGATACCAAGATGGGAGGATCACTTGAACCCAGTAGGTCAAGGCTGCAGAGGACTGGGTTCATGCTATTGTACTCCAGCCTGGGCAACGGAGAGTGACCCTGTCGCAAAATAAAACAAAAAACAAACCCAGCCTAGCCAACATGGGGAAACCCCATCTCTACTAAAAGTACAAAAATTAGCTGGGCATGATGTTGCAAGCCTGTAATCCCAGCTAATTGGGAGGCTGAGGCACGAGAGTCGCTTGAACCCAGGGAGGCAGAGGTTGCAGTGAGCCAATATAACTAGGGCTCAGCAAATTTAAAGAGCTAAGTTAATATTTTATCCTTGCAGGCCATGTGGTTTCAGTTGCAACTATTCAACTATACCATTGTAGCATGAAAGCAACTGTGTTGGTCCACTTTCACACTGCTATGAAGAAATGCCTGAGACTGGGTAATTTATAAAGGAAAGGGGTTTAATTGACTCCCAGTTCCACATTGCTGGGAAGGCCTCTGGAAAATTACTGTCATGGCAAAAGACAGAGGAGAAGCAGGCACCTTCTTAGGCAGGATAGAGTGAGTGCAAGCAGGGGAAATGCCAGTGCTTATAAAACCATCAGATACCTCAAGACTCACAATCATGGGAGCAGAATGGGGGAAACTGCCCCCATGATCCGATGACCTCCACCTGGTCCCGCTCTTGACACGTGGGGATTATGGGATTACAATTCAAGATGAGATTCTGGATGGGGACACAGCCAAACCATGTCAGAATCTATAGACAGTACGTAAATGAATGAGCATGGTTGTGTTCCCATAAGGACGTGAAGCAGCATACTATCCTACGCTGCAGTTGGGAGTGTAAATTGGTATAATTTGGAAAATTTGTTTAGTGTTAACTGCCAAAATGGAGCATATGCTTACCCCATGACTCAGCATTTCCACTCCTAGAATGTATGCAACTAAAATGAGTACACCAAAGACTTGCACAAGAGTGTTCATAATAGCATTATCCACGATAGCCTAAACTGCCACGTACTCAAATGTCTATCAACAGAAGAAGGAGTAATTTATGTTGTATTCATATAGTGGATTATATACAACAAAGAATTATAGCAGCATGCAATATGGGTGTATCTCAGACATTATTTGCAAGACAGCCAGACACAGAATATATACTCAAAAACATGCAAAACTTATCTGTGCAATTAGAAATCCTCCCTTTGGGGATGAAGGAGAGCAGAGATTGGGAGAAGCACAGGGAGGCTAGTAATGTGCTATAAATATTTCCTGACCTTGTGGTGGTGATTATACACAGATGTCCCTTTTGTGTTAATTCATAGAGCCGTACACTTGATTTGTAGAGCATGCTGTGTTGTTATACTTTGAAAAGCTAATTGGAACCTTACATGTGGTATGTTGTGTGGTATCTTGTCAAACACTGGACTTCATTATAAGGTGATAGGTTCATTCATTCCCTCTCTCCCTCCTTCCTTCCGTCCTTCCTTCCTTTCTTCTTCCTTTCCTTTCCTCCCTTCCTCCCTTCCTTCCTCCCTTCTTCCTCCCTTCCTCCCTTCTTCCTCCCTTCCCCTCTCTTTCCTTCCCTTCCCTCCCCTTCCTTCCTTTCCTCCTTTCCTCCTCCTCTCCTCTCTCCTTTCCTTCCTTTCCTTCAGTTCCCTCCCTCCTGTCTTTCCTTCCTTTTTTTTTTTTTTTTTTTTTTTTTGCCTGAGACAGGGTCTTGCTCTAGCACCCAGGCTGGAGTGCAGTGGCATGATCTTGGCTTACTGCAGCCTCCACCTCCCAGGTTCAAGCGATTCTCCTGCCTCAGTCTCCCAGGTAGCTGGGATTACAGTTGCATGCCACCACACCGGGCTAATTTTTTTATTTATAGTAGAGATGGGGTTTCATCATGTTGGCCAGGCTGGTCTCGAACTCCTGACCTCAAGTGATCTGCCTGTCTAGGCCTCCCAGAGTTCTGGGATTACTGGCATGAGCCACCGTGCCCAACCTAAACCAACTTTTTCATTGGGTACACCGAGATTGTGTGTCTTTTTCTTGGGTCAGGTCTTCAAGAGAGGAATCTACAATTTCCTGTGGATGCAAGGGTCTTATTCACTATGGCCATTTTCAGTGGTGTATCTTTTCTCTCTTGACTCCTGTGCCTCATGTACCAATGTCTAGAGCTTTTCTTTGCTCAGTATCTCTTCAGAATGATCCCCCATAGATGTGTCTTCTGAAATGACTGAATGAGGAGCTTGGCAAATCCTCATCCTTAAAAATCCACAATTAAGTCAGGCATGGTGGCTCATGCCTGTCATCCCAGTGACTTCTTGGGAGGCCGAGGTGGGAGGATCACTTGAGGCCAGGAGTTCAAGGCCAGTATAGGAACATCGTGAGACTCCATCTCAAAAAAAAAAAAAAATTTTTTTTTCTTATAGAGATGGAGTCTCATTCTGTCACCCAGGCTGGAGTGCAGTGGCCGGATCTCAGCTCACTGCAAGCTCCGCTTCCCATGTTCACGCCATTCTCCTGCCTCAGCCTCCTGAGTAGCAGCGACTACAGGTGCCTGCCACCTTGCCCAGCTAGTTTTTTGTATTTTTTTTTAGTAGAGACGGGGTTTCACCGTGTTAGCCAGGATGGTCTCGATCTCCTGACCTCGTGATCCACCTGTCTTGGCCTCCCAAAGTGCTGGGATTACAGGCTTGAGCCACCGCGCCCGGCCAAAAAAAATTTTTTTAAATTAACTGTTCATCATAGTGTGTCCTAGCTACTTGAGAAGCTGAGGTGGGAGGATTGCTTGAGCCTAGGAGGTTGAAGCTGCAGTGAGCTATGATCACAACATTGTACTCCAGCCTGGGTGATAGAGCAAGACCCTGTCCCAGACACACACACACACACACAACACACACACAACACACACACAAAAGAAAAACATTACAGCTTTAATGGAAGAATTTCAGAAATTGCAGTGATGAGATGCCTCTTTCTTTTCTTCTCTCTTCTTTCTTCTTCCATTCTTTTAGGTCACTTAATGACTTTTTTTTTTTTTTTTTTAAATTTGAAACGAGGTCTCACTGTCACCCAGACTGGAGTGCAGTGATACGATCTCAGCTCACTGCAACCTCTGCCTCCCGAGTTCAAATGATTCTCCTGCCTCAGCCTCCTGAGTAGCTGGGATTACAGGCATGTGCCACCACGGCTGGCTAATTTTTGTATTTTTAGTAGAGATAACATTTCACCATGTTGGTCAGGCTGGTCTCAAACTCCTGACCTCATGAACCAACCACCTTGGCCTCCCAAAGTGCTGGGATTACAGGCGTGAGTCACTGCTCCCGGCCAGTGCTTTTTTAAATTGTCCAATTTAACCTTTGATATTCCTATGGAACTAGACAGGAAAAAATACCAGTTTGTATTACCTGGTAATTCTTATCAAACATGGCCTGTTTTCAAATTGATAAAAAGAAATAAAGACCTTGAATAGAATTACTACATCTAGATGGTTAGATTATATATTTTAAAGGAAACTTGGAAAGTTAAATTGCTGACTGTGCTAAATGGGTGCTTGACTAAAGCATTGAAATAGGTTCGCTTAAATGATTCTTAAAGTTTGTGTTTAAGATGAGCAATTTTCAATATTTTAAATAATTAAACTTTTACATTTTTGAGTGATAATTTTTTCAGACCAAACAATTTAAATAAAATAGCCACATATTCCCAGGAGGAATAGAGATGGATTGGGAGACCATTATTTCACTTTAAAGAAATTGGCAGTCCAGAAAATTTTATGAACAGATTTCTCCAACCTAGTGTGAGAAAAAATTATAATCTTGAGCATAGTAATTGTCAGATGTTCTCTAGCAGTTCCCAAAATGTGTTATTGGCAAAAGTCAGCATAGAAACATGGCTCTTAATGCCTAAGTGCGTGGGCTGCTTAAGGAGGTACGTGACAGTAGTAGCCATGAAGTTGACTTTAGGCTGTACCCTTGTCAGGACAAACTTAAAGGGTTGGATGTGATACCGCCAGCCTCCCAGTAACAGTGTTCTCTGCTTTCCTGTAGAGTGGATCAATCTCAGAGATGGGCCCATCACCATATCTGACTCCTCAGATGAGGAAGGGATTCCAATGCTGGTCACCCCAGCTACTCAGCAGCATGAAGAAGAGGACCTGGATGATGATGTCATCCTGACAGAAGTGAGTTTTCTTTAAACTTACATTGAGACATTATTGCAAGTTGGTGATCTAAGTATTCAGCCACTCTTGTGGGCCTTGTTGTGGAACAGCTGAGAGCACCTCTTGTACTCGTTTTGAGAACCTCTTTTCCATTCTACCTCATGTACCGTTAGATTTAGAAGCTGTATGTTTCAGTCTGCTTCTGGATTGAGTATCTGCACCATTGTTCCATTTGACTATTAATGCACCAGATTGCACTGTTGTCATTGCTACAACATTATGGTGTATCTTACTGTTGGATTGGCCTTATTCTCTCCATATTATCCCACATTTTTCAGAATCATCCTGGATATTCTTGCACTTAAATTTTTATATGGAGTTTACAATCAACTTTTTAAATTCCAAAATATAGATAGATATATATGTAATCAGTTTGCCTAATCCAAAACAAATCTTCCTGTTATATTTATAGAGCAATTTTTATGATCATGCTCTTTCTAACCAAGAACAAATTTTGTCTTTTCATGTAGTCAAGACTTCTTTTATTTTCCTCAGCCAGAAAGCATTTTGAATTTTTCTTAATATAGATCTTAAACATTTTTTGTTTTTCTTGGTTATTTTATATTTTCTGTTGCTTTTGTGAATGACATCTTTTCTTTCATTGTACTTCTATTTTTTTGAGACGGAGTTTCGCTCTTTTGCCCAGACTGGAGTACAGTGGCGTGATCTCGGCTCACTGCAACATCCACCTTCTGATTTCAAGCGATTCTCCTGCCTCAGCCTCCCGAGTAGCTGGGATTACAGGTGCCTGCCACCACACCTGGCTAATTTTTGTATTTTTAGTAGAGACGAGTTTAACCATTTTGGCCAGGCTGATCTCGAACTCCTGACTTCGTGGTCTGCCCCACCTCGGCCTCCCAAAGTGCTGGGATCATAGACATGAGCCACCGCGCCCGGCCCTTTCATTGTACTTTTAGAGTGTGTTTTTTAAACTACAAGTCTGTTGCTTTTTTTTTTTTTTTTTTTTTTAGTTTAAAGATCCCAGTTGGCTTTATTGTGGTTCTAGAACCAAACAACACTTCCTTCCATAAAATTCAGTAGGTGTTCTGAGCTGAGCAAAAGTGGTTGTCTTTATAGACAGAGAAGGACTAAAAAGAGCAGAAGCAAAGTCCTTTCAAAGTTACTTCTCTTGTCAGGCTGGGACAAGGAGACAGAAGAGAGAAAAATAACTGATTAGTTAACATCAGGCTGCTTCAGGCCACCTTTCCCGTATAAGGATTAAAGCAGAGGGAAATTCATTATGATACCCATTGAAGATTTAAACTGCCCTGTTTAAGAAATTGGTTGTTCACTCTTTCTCTCGATTTCTAGGAAGGTCAAATGAACTTCCCAGGTTTGAGTTTGGTAACATGAAACTTACATGGATGATTCTGTTTTGAGTTTTAGTCTGGTCTTTTGGGGTCTAGTGCAGACACTTAGTCCAAAACAGTGGCCTCCTATAATTTTCATTTAACAATTCCTCATTTTTTGTTAGGCTTTCACCCAGGGCCTGACCAAACCTTAAGGCATCATAGCCACTGTCAGTTACCATCATTTTGGGTTTCTAATCCCAGCATACACTTTATAGGTTCTGGTGTCCTCATTATCACACTCTTTTTTTTTTTATTTTTTGGTTTTTGTTCTAGCTGGAGAAAGACCATTTGGCATTTGACAGGTAGCTGTATGGAAACATTTAAAACTTTTTGATGGGATGCGGCACACCCAAGAGACTACTGTTATGACTGTAAGGAGGATAATACCAAGAGTTTAGGTGGAGTATGCTCCTCGGCTAGGGCCCCAACTAAAACCAAATGGCTAGACAAGGAATCTACCTTGTTTTAACCAAGTAGTCTGCTCTGCAATACCTGATGTGTTTATCTGTGTGCAACAAGAAGTGTCATCAACTGCACAGACTCTTCTCTGTAAAGTTAGTAGGTAATCTTGCATCCCATGACTGGGTTAAATTAAAGCAGGGAGTGCAAGTTACCTGCAGAGGCTACTGATGGCGAAATTTTAACTACAATGTTGTCCTGCCTGCCACATGAGAGTTAGGCGTAAGTAAGGAAAAATTAGGGAGGGTAAGAGTCTTACTATGAGAGGGAATCTTGCTCCGATGTGGTTTGCAGTTGTGAATGTCTCTGGTTGTGGCATTGGCCATCCTAGTGGACTCTGTGTGGCCCATGCATTAGGCGTGAGACTTATTCCTTGCAATTTACATCGATTTGTCCAGCTTTAGTTTATAGGGCTTCAGGAACTGAGCAATTCTCCTTCATTGGATAGTCGTAGTCAGATATTAGAGAAAACTAAAAGAATTCAGAATTCGGTGCAATGTATAGGTAGATAATAAAAACTCAATAAACAGAGCTACAATCTAAATAACAGGCATACTGAAGTTTTCTTTTGAAATGTAATTTTTCTCTCTACAGTCACTCCCATTTCTACCAAAGATAATCACAGTAAGACCAGTTTGCCTGACTAACCACATATTTGAAAGCACATATTTAAATTTCCTTTGCTGGAAATTTTGACGAGGAATCTCAAATTGGTCTATAAAAAATGTCTCTGCTAGGAAGCCAAACCAGGACAGACATCAGTCTTTGCCTGCTGTATCCAACATCTGGAGGTTCCTGAGCCTGCCAGGAAGAGACAGATTTACTCACTGTAAGGCAGGGAATGCTTAAAGCCAGGCATTGTTTGCACATATTGAAATATGGCATTCCATTCAAAGCCTTGGTAACATAACCAGTTTCCAGTTGTGTCCTTTTATTAAAAGGACAGATTCTTATTGAACTTAGGCAAATAATGATATTGCCATAAAAATAAGAATACTCATGAATAGTTTGCAAATTCTGGAGGGAACCTGTTGGGAGGAAAAGCAAATATTTTCATTTTTATTATAAAAGTATACTTTACCAAATTGCGATAAGCTATAAAAACCTTAAAAGAAAAAAGTTTCCTTAAATCTGGCAAACAAAACATTAAAAGAACCAGCAGTGTTTCAAATAAAGAAGCCATAAAAACCCATGATTCTTCTTTAATCAATTCAGTCTCATGTAATTAATTCTTGCTGTTTGATCTTGGTTAGCAGTTACACAAATTCATTAGTTTCTTCATTAGAATTTTGAATATTTAGTCCAATAGTGTGAACTCAAACCTGCATTTGTCAGCATTCATTTCATTTTTCGCATATACATCTTTGAAGACACAGCACTTACGGATTATAATTGCTTACAGAGAGCTTTCAGAAAATGTCAGAACAAAATAACTATGGACAGCAAGACTTAAAATGGCTGCGGTTAAAAACCTGATGAGAGTTCATTATAGTGACACAGTTGACAAGGAAATTTAGTTATTTCTAAACCAAAATTATGACTGATAGCATATATACCAAGACATATCAGATTTCTAAGAGCTTTATATAATCTTGGAATATAAAAAACATCCATATAGACCCAGCGTGGTGGATCACTTGAGGTCAGGAGTTCGAGACCAGCCTGGCCAACATGGTGAAACCTCGTCTCACTAAAAATACAAAAATTAGCGAGGCATGGTAGCACATTGCCTGTAATTCCAGCTACTCAGGAGGCTGAGGCAGTAGAATCACTTGAACCCAGGAGATGGAGGTTGCAGTGAGCCAAAATCGTGCCACTGCACTCCAGCCTGTATGACAGAGGGAGACCCCGTCTCAAAAAAAAAAAAAAAAAATACGTGGGCATTTTTGCTGATCAGAAGACACACAGCTGTTTTCCAAATGGTCTTTCTTACCAAAAATATCCAAGTCATGTGAACTAAAAGGCATTGGAGTTAGGTCCTGTTTTTCTGATAAAAGATTGAAGTGCTTACTTTTTCCTTAAACCAATTATTAGAGTTCTTTGATATATTTTGGTAGAGAAATACCACACACACATAACACATATATAGACACGGAGAGACAGAGAAGCAGATCTTACAACCTTCATTAAGAATCTTTATTTGCCAGTTTTCAAATACAGTTTACACTTGAACAACATAGTGGTAAGGGGTGCCAACCCCTGTGCAATTTAAAATCTGCATATAACTTTTGACTCCCCAAAAACTTAAGTACTAATAGCATACTGTTGACCAAAGCCTTAACTGCTTAATACTACTTAATAACTACTTAACTACTAATAGCATACTATTGACCAATAACATGGTTCATTAACATGCTTAATCATGATATACTAACTAGTATATTATGTGTGTGTGTATATATGTGTGTGTGTATATATAGATATAAAATATACTGCATTCTTAAAGTAAGCTGAGGAAAGGTTAAGAAAATCATAAACTGGGCAGGGTGGCTCACGCCTGTAATCCCAGCACTTTGGGAGGCCGAGGCCAAGAGTTCAAGACTCATAAGGTCAGGAGTTCAAGACCGGCCTGGACAAGATGATGAAACCCTGTCTCTACTAAAAATACAAAAATTAGCCAGCATGGTGGTGGGCACCTGTAATCCTAGCTACTTGGGAGGCTGAGGCAGCGAATTGCTTGAACCCAAGAGGCAGAGGTTGCAGTGAGCCAAGATCAGGCCACTGCACTCCAGCTTGGGTGGCAACAGAGCGAGACTCTGTTTCAAAAAAAAAAACAAAAACAAAAAAACAAGAAGAAAATCCTAAGGAAAATATAGTTACTGTTCATTAAGTGGCAGTGGATCATTATAAAGGTCTTTATCTGTGTGGTCTTCACACTGAGTTGGCTAGGGAAGATACTGCGTGTTGCAAGTGAAGAAAATCCACGTATAAGTGGACCCTGTTAGTTCAAACCATGTCTTAAATTTAAGAGTCAACATAGTTTCTATCCCCTCTTTAGACCATCAGTCCTTCAATCACCTGTTATAGTGCCCCCAAGCAATTGCTAACCTGGCACCTCTCAGTTGGCACTTCCACAGAGGTGACTCCCAGATGAAAAAAGGTAGACAATTTACAAATCTTAGATCTAAACACTATACTAATTTGTCCAAA